CCCCCCCCCCCCCTCCCCCTCATACTATCTGTGTATTGATGTACAACTAGCATTTAGGTTTGGTTAGGGTCAATTACATTTAGACATTTTCAATGGAATGAATGGAACTCTATACAGAATAGAACTATTTTGAAATCTCGTAACCCAGATTTTCTTTCTTGTCTTCTTTAAAATCCGGGAAATTTGAATCTCTATTTTCTAATTTCAAATTGACTAGATTAATCCTTAAAATATTAATTTTCCTTATTTCTAACAAAGAAGGATATTTGTTTCACTGATATGTACTTTAACGTCTAGGGTAGGGGAGGGGGGGGGATGAGACAATTGATGTTTTGCTTCATTGAAAGTTAATTATACATTATAAACACCAATATTATGCTGGTTCTTTGGATGATATTGTTTGTGACATGAATTAAAGATAGTGAGCAATGTATGGTAGTTGAACTCAGAATGTAGTATTGGGGAGCAAGTTCTAAGATTCATTTGAGACTTACAAAACGTTTAATGATGGATCATTACTGAGTTTGAGCGTAGAGTCGAAGTTCAAAATCATCTATTTGGGCGGTGGATGGTTACGTTTTGCGAATCGATTTTTTAAAAATTATTAAATAAGGACGACAAAATGTTAAAAAAAATTCTACAGTTAACTATTTAGATGTTTGGGAACATATTTCTTAATTTAAGTTTCTTTCAATAAATCAATGTTAAAATCGATCAATTAGTTATTTTTCATCATTATGTTGAATTTCTTATCCTTTATGAATTTGTTCGCAAATTTCTTCAAAATCTTCAAATGTTGTCTTTACAAGAAAAATTCCAAAAAATCCACTAAAAGTTGGTGAACAAGAAGACATTACAAAAACCAATAACTGAATAAGATTACTTATTTTCAATGATAATAGTTAATTTTTATTTTCTCAACCTGTTCCTAAACAACTGGCTAGTTTATTGTAGAATTTTGGTTACATTTTTCGTGGTCGTTATTCAATTATATTTCGTGGTCGTGGTCGTCAATATTATTTTTAAAATCATCCCTCAAAAATGAACAATCTATGAAGATTTTAAAAATTAAAATTGCGCTCTTGCTGAACAAATATGTACCGTAAAAAGGTCGATCTCATAGATCTCAAATGATTCCTAAATAATGTCTCCACAACTCCACAATACTACATTCTCAGTTCAACTGTCATACATTGCCGGTCACTCCCTTTACAATCCTATTCTATTCTTAACAAAAATGGACTTTTTAGAACTTATTAGTTTAAAAGTACTTTAAACAGTCAACAATTGAGAATGAATTTAATGGTTTTAATTGATAGAACAAAAAAGCTTCATTAAAAAATTTAAAGGTTTTTTAATTAAAGAAAAACAAGTTCTTTTTCTGATCCTTGGAATGTGGAATTTGGATTGTTTAAAGGATCAGACGAACAAAATCTTATTCTTAGGTAAAACTTTTTTTATGTTTCATATAACTTTTGCTTCTGCAGGCCTAGTTTTCATATTCTTACATATTTAGTATACAGACCAAGGTTGTAATGCAAGGAAAGTTAATTGCAGTTGCTTATTACCGCCCAGAGACAGTACACTGCAGTACAAAAGATGCGTACACCTCTGAAAGAACTTTCCTTGCATTACAACCTTGGTACTGACATAGTTGAAGGGCCAGACGTTGACAGTTAAATATTGAAAATACAGTGGGAAAAAAACTCTGGAATAGTAAAACGAATTTAGAATCAAGTTACAACTTTAAAAAATCCAATAAGCATGAGACACAGCAATTGTGCAGTGTAAGTAGATCCATTTCACTGAATTTTTAAGTGTCTTGTAAAACTATTTGCTTTGTAAAAACATCAAATACACTAAAGTATTGATATAATGACGTCTTCCTATTTCATGGTTTTCTGGTTTTCACTGTATAAATATATATAAACGAGGAGCTTTATTATCTACAGTAATAACCAGAAAACTTTGGAATAGAAAGACGACTTTTAAAATCAAGTTATAACTTTTAAAGGTCCAATAGGCAATTGTGAACTGACGTAAGTATTGTTATAAAGTCGTCTTCCTATTCCATTGTTTTATGTATATCTCTCTAGAAGATTCATGGATATTTTTATTATTTATTTATTTTCTTACTTTTTAACATTTTCCTTTTTTCTCCGAATATTTTCTACTTATCTTTTCATTTTGGGAAATATTTTACTTTTTCAGTAACGTTTCCGTTTCCTGGCAGCCGCTTATAGGATCAAACATCAGCAGAGAACAGATTCCAGGAAATCCTGGATCATTTAATCAATCTTGTCCTGGAGTAATTCTTTCTGTTTCTTTATTTCTTTAATTAGTTTATATTTTTCTGAAGTAATTAATTATTGCCCGGAATCTTAAGTTTATTTGTTCTTCTGAAATTTCTTTAATTAATCCATATTTTTCTGAAAGATTTAATCAAACTTTTCCTGGAATATCAAATTTTTTTTCCTTTAATTAATTTATATTTTTCTGAAGTATTTAATTAATTTTTTTACTGGACTATTTAGATTGTTCTCTTTTCATCTTGAATTCATGATATCCTGGATGATTTTATTAAACTTTCTCTGAAATTTTAAGTTCTTTCTTTTTTCTTTAATTTTAATTTCTTTGATTGATTCATCCTTTCCTGGAAGATTAAAAAAATTCCTGGAATATTTAGATTTTTCTCTTTTCTTGGTTTACTATATAATGCATATTTTCTATGGGGATTTAATCAATTTTTCCTGGAATATCAATTTCTTTCATGTTCTTTTAATGTCTTTAATTGAATTAAATATTCTTGGAGAATTTAATTAATTCCTTTTTAATAGATTAACTATTTGTTTAATTATCATAATCAAGATAATTTATATCAACTTTAGAACCAATTTTTGAGTTTAAAGACCATGCTTCTGAATGAGTCTGGCTAGAACTGATATCTCAAATGAAACTCTTACTAAAAGAAATTGTATCTGTAGATGAAAATAATTTCTACATAAGCATAACATGTCATGTGCCATGTACATGTTTTACAAATACTTGGGATGAATTCTCATCCCTGAAAACAGGTATATTTGTAAGGACCTTGTCTACAGCATTTAGAGCTGAACACTTTAGAATGGGATATCCTTATAATCCCGATCCTGAAAACAGGTATATTTGTAAGGACCTTGTCTACAGCAACCAGAGCTGAACACTTTAGAATGGGATATCCTTATAATCCCGATCCTGAAACAGGTATATTTGTAAGGACCTGCCTTGTCTACAGCAACTAGAGCTGAACACTTTAGAATGGGATATCCTTATAATCACGATCCTGAAAACAGGTATATTTGTAAGGACCTTGTCTACAGCAACTAGAGCTGAACACTTTAGAATGGGATATCCTTATAATCCCGATCGGTTAATTAATCTGGAGATTAATAACAAGAGGAGAACAAGCTTTATTTAATCTGGAGATTAAAAAAAGAGTAAATCAAACATTGATCTCGATATCCATAATTCTAAAGTTGTCAGCTTAGGATTGTAATACGAATCTATGTACGAAAGTCACAGGAAAAAAACTTTGGTAAGAAAGTCCCAAATGTCAGTGGAAATAAAGTCCTCAGTTTTAAAGTCCAGCTCGGGAAATAAAATCACAGGAATTAAAGTCCTGAAAAAAGTCCTAAGTCTTGGGAAAATGAGGTCAATTCTGAGAAGTTTCCTTGAAAAGGATTTTTTTCTATGCATCTGTATATTTAATATAGTCAGGGGCACAATTATTTCCAAAGTTATAAACATTCTTTGTTCCCATGTGCACTTTCTACTGTAAAAGGACTTTTTTCTTGGGACTTTTTATATGAAATCATACTGGAACCAGAAAAAAGTCCTAGAAAATAAAGTCTTAAAATGGTAGGTAGGACTTTATTTTCAAAGATTTTTTATTTCAAGGACTTTTTTAGTGCCAAAATTTAGGACTTTATTTCAGAAAACATTTTTTCGAAGAACTTTTTTTTGCGGTTACCTCGCAGTACAGCATGCATACAGTATGCATACAGCATGCATACTGCATACTGCATACTGCATACTGCATACTGCATACTGCATACTGCATACTGCATACTGCATACTGCATACTGCATACTGCATACTGCATACTGCATACTGCATACTGCATACTGCATACTGCATACTGCATACTGAAAACTGCATACTGGATACTGGATACTGCATTCTGCATACTGCATACTGCATACTGCATATTTCATACTGCTTACTGCATACTGCATACTGCATCAGGCATACTGCATATTGCATACTCCATACTACGTACTGCATGCTGCATACTGCATACTGCATACTGCATACTGTCCAAATAATTTTAGCTGGAATAGGGTTTATAATAATATGTAGATTGTAGAATGTTTGCATTTTCAAATTTAAAATAATTTTTTGCATTTTTTACACTTTCAACCTTTTTTAGAAATTATTATTTGATTATCCACGATTATTGATCAGACTTTACAACGACAACAGCAACAACAACAACAAAGTCCACTACAACAACAACAACTATTGTTAACAACGTAACAACAAATGAGAATGACATGAATGGAACTACTGTTAAGTATCCCCCGGATATAATCGATGAAACAAATTCAACAAGTTCAGGAAAAACTATTTTTAAACATAAATATTATTATAATTTGTAATATATTTCATAATTAAGATTCTCGTGTTTCTTAAACATGAGCTAAAAACTTTAGAATGAGATATCCTTAACCCTGATCGCTTAATCTGAGTATCCGATGTACATACTTTTGATTTTATTCTTGATCCTCTTTTTTGGATATCCCTACTGTATAAAAGTTACGTTTGATAACAATTACAGATACAATATATTATATCGATTGGACTTATATCCGATTGAATTAAAATCGGCTGTTCACAAGCCGGCTTTCAGAGTATTTGAGCAAATATAAATTTAATCATGTTAATATGAACCTATTAAAAAATATACTTTTTCACATTTTAGGACTATCATCATTTTTAACGAGTCTTAACAAACATTAATCCAAAACTTGCATTTATTTAATCGATGTTTAGTTCAATTGATCGGACACATTTAACAACAGAAAAAAACCGGGTTTTCAAAAGTTGAAGAGTATACATCTTACCATGATACACTGGTTGGTTGAATTTTATACTTCTTTCTTGGATATCGAATACGTATTAAAGTAATCTCGGGTTTAGAAAACCAGGAGTTTAAGCATTAATCTTGATATCCATCATTCTAAAGTTTTCAGCTCAGAGCTGGGAACTTTATAAGGGATAACCTTTAATCCCAAATACTTAATCCGAATATCCATTGTGGAAACTTTTAATTTTAGTCCTTTATCCATTCTTTTTCTCTCTCTTTGGATATCCGTACATTATTTTCTCCAATGAGAGTACAGGAATATAGTTCGTAAATTGTATGGACCAATGACAGTCTTGAAAATAAATTCTATCCCATGAGAGAAATCCGCAATTTCTAACAAATAAAGAATTTTTTGTCGGCCATTTTGTAAATTAATCGGTGAAGAAAAATATTTAATAATACGTTTCAGATTCTTTTTAACCAATTTCAATTAATGAATTAATAAATAAATGGGTGAGAAATTAAGTGAAGACCCTTCCAGTCAAGAAAACGAACCAATCTGGCGTTCCTAGAATCCAATTTGTTTATCTAAATATTTAATCTCAAGACTAACATAATCTCGAGATTATGTTAGTCTGGAGATAAGCAAAAAGAGAGGATTAAGCATTAATCCTGATATCCACCATTCTAAAGTTCCCTGCTCAGAATATACTTTATTAAGTAGACGGAAATATTAAAGGGCAGCAGGACCGATTCACAACTGGTACCTTTCCACCTTTATCTGAGAAAACATGAGGAATATATCGTTGTTTTTCTATTTTATAATGCACGGGCAGCCGTAGTACATTTGGATTTCCGAGCCGGGTCAACCTTTCCAGTCCCAGTTTGTACTGTACCTAGCTCTTTGGACAGGACTAGCCGGTGCAAAAGGGTTGACTCGGTCGGACTTTATGCTTCAAATAGGTTGAGTTTACTTTTAGTGAAGGGGCAGAGGTACGTGAATGAAGGATTATTTGAAATTATATATACACTTCCTTACTTATATTCATTATTCTAATTTAATAAATATAAATTAGTTTTTCTAAAATGGGGTCTGCATTTTTGTGCTTTAAACATTTTTTTGGAGTTTGTTTAGATTTAAATTTATTCTTAAAATCTATCTTAAAACAAAACTAGTTAAATTATCAACAGTATTATCTGCAAACACAACAACTCCTTCCAACAGTTCCACAACATTACCAACTACAACAACAACATCGCCCAAACCAACAACAACAGCTTTGTACAACTTGACAACATCTCAGAGCGTGGATAATTTCACTGAATCTAGGAACACATTTATTAAATAGTAATATTTTGAAATTCATTTTCTAACATTCAGAATTTTTCCAGAGTCATCGCCACAAAGTCTAATTTTATAATTTCAATATCTTTGCAACCTAATGTCGCAGACCTTATATTTTTTAAACGTTGAATTCTGATATATCAAATAATCTAAGTTCGAAATATCAAATAATTACACCACTAGGTTGCAAAGATAACGGGATTTTAAAATTTGAGTTTGTGGTAAGAACTCAATTCCTTCCGAGCCTTTCCTAATATATCATTAACTATTTTAGACTTTTTATTTTCAATCCGCAAGTGTTAAAATCAAAAAAAAAAAAAAATAATCAAGTGATTTCCAAATCCATGGACTAGTGTATTAGTTTGTTTGTTTGTTGTTGAATGGAACACCCTGTATTTCAAGTTTTAAAATGTATATATTGTGTCACCCTGTATTTCAAGTTTTAAAATGTATATATTGTGTCACCCTGTATTTAAAGTTTTAAAATGTATATTTTGTGTCACCCTGTAGTGGAAATGGTACTCAGGAGTCTATTGTTGAATCAAAGGATGATGAAGGATCAATAGGTTATGCAGGTAAACATTTTAAACAAATATTATTTTCAAACAAACTGTGAATCAACTCCAACCCTTTAGTTGTCTGCCATCTTAATTCCAGTTTCGATATACAGGATGTTTCAAAAAAACCTGTACTGGTTGCTGGAGCCTCAGTTTCGATATACATGATGTCCCAAATAACCTGCAGTGGTTGCTGGAGCCTCAGTTTCGATATACATGATGTCCCAAATAACCTGTACTGGTTGCTGGAGCCTCAGTTTCGATATACATGATGTCCCAAATAACCTGTAGTGGTTGCTGGAGCCTCAGTTTCGATATACATGATCTGGAGCCTCAGTTTCGATATACATGATGTCCCAAATAACCTGTAGTGGTTGCTGGAGCCTCAGTTTCGATATACAGGATGTACAGGATAACCTGTACTGGTTGCTAAAGCCTCAGTTTCCGAAATAGTGACGATTTTTGAGTTTCGGACATTTTTGATATCAACGAAAAAATTTTAATTTTTAAATTTTTTAAAGTTTGAATTTTTAGAATTCCTCCTTTGCAAAATTAGGGAAAGGGATGAACCTGCTAGATCCCCGGACCTTGCGATAGGGTAATCATATATCCGAAGTTTACACCCCAACTTGGATCAGCTAGAACAAAACCTTAAACCTACTGCTATATATTTATATGTGCTAATCTGCAAAATTTACTTTAAAAATCGTTGAATTTGGAAATGAAATAGTTTATTTTCAGGAGAGGTCGTCTTGATTGTCTTTATCGTTCTTCTCGGTATTATGGTTTTGGTAGTCGTGGCAAAATATTATCATTTGCAGAAGAATATAGGGAACGGAATTATTTTCAAATCTAAAATAAGTTCTTCTTGAATTAGAGCTGGGTACTCTTGAGCAGAGACGAAACTTTTGAACGTACAAAACTAGCGTAAAACGATTCAGCCATCAGATGAGTTTAATTGTTGAGTAAAAGTAATCGATTTACTAACTATGAATCGGCTGCACATTCTAATTAATTACTAATTAATAGTAAAATAAAAAAGGCTTCAGTCCGTTAATGATGTTAATAGTTTTAAAATTCAAAGGTTCCCAGCTTATAAAAATTTGGTAACCAGGAAAACTGGTAAATAAGAAAACTCGTAACTTGAAAAACGGTAACTTGAAAAACGGTAACCAGGAAAACTGGTAAATAAGAAAACTGGTAACTTGGAAAACGGTAACCAGTGGCCGAATTTAAAGAATTTGAGCGGCGGTTTAAATTTAAGCCGCGGTTTAAATATGGTTGGTTCCACTTAAAATTGTATCAAATGTTTCAAGATTTAAGCCGGCGCTTAATTTAAACCGGGTTTTAGCGGATTTAAACCGCGGCTCAAATTCTTTAAATTCCATCTCAGGAAAACTGGGATAAATAGGTAAACTGGTAACCAGGAAAACAGGCAACCAGGAAAACTGGTTATCATGAAAACTGGTAACCAGGAAAACTGGTAACCAAGAAAATTGGTAACCAAGAAAACTTGTAACCAGGAAAACTGGTAACCAGAAAATACATATAAAGATCAAATATAGAATTTAAAAAAACGAGTGCTAGTGAAATCCTAAATTCTAAAATGTGTTTAAGATTTGAAAATAATGAGTTCAGGGGACTACAGAGTTAATCCTTCAGCAGAGTATCCTAATCCTTCATTTAATCCTCAGGATTCATATAGGGATCACTAACCTAATTAGGGATCATTAGAAAATTAGGAATCACTAAACCAATAAGGGATCACTGGGGATCACTAAACTAATTAGGGATCATTAAACCAATTAAGGATTACTAAACAAATTAGGGGAAAAATAACCAAACGAGGGATCAATTTTTAAAAATTTTCTTAAAATATGTAATCAAAGAATTACAGCTGTTAAAACTTTAAAAGTGTCCTTCAGACCTACAATTGATAAAATTAAGAGCAGCAGCTCAACTTTTCCTATGTGAACGAAAGTATCGTTGGGCGGATGCTCTGCAATTTTTAAAATAACATTATAGTCGACAGTCAACTTTCTAATTTATAATTTAAAGATAGAAATGTGAAAAATTATTTTAGAAATAAATTTTATTTATAATTTTAAGGAAATTTTTTCAAACAATTTGCGTGAAAACATTATCACTTGAAACAGTTGAACACAACCACAGAAAAGCTTTTTTTCCTTTTTTTCAGAAGAAGTCTATAAGTGTCATCAATATTCATTCAGATTTATTTTTTCTGTTTTGTGATTGTTTTTAATTAAACTATTGCCGCGCCATTGCACTATTAATTTATAGATCTTGAATACCTGTGTTTGAAAGCAAGGCTTATTTTTGTAAAGTGTATAACAACTCCATAGATGCATGTGTGTTATTGTAAACCTAAATTATTAAGTGTATTCTGTAAATTATTGCTTATTTGTATTTTGAAATAGTTACACTAATATTATTTATTATGTTAATTTGTACAATTAAGATCAAACAGATGGAACATGATTGTATATTTGTTTACAAGATCGATTAAAATATTTTTAGTAAATGCATTTAATTTGTAATTTTAAAAAGATAATTTCAAATAATGGAATTTTGTCACGTTATAAGCTGAAATAAATGACTTAAAGTGCATGAGAATTAAAATATTAAAAGACTTCTCCCCCCCCCCCCTCTCTTTAAACAAATACACAGTTGAAAATTTACACCGATAATTATATTACAATTCAATAAAGTATGATTCATAAATATATGAACATATGTCTGCTATTCCTGCTATGAGTGATGCAACATTTAGTTTAACTGACAGTAAAAAAAAACATTTAAAATATGCTAAAAATGATTAGTTTAAAAACCAAAAGATGTAGAATATATTGTGAAACAAAGCTCTTCGCTCATCTATATATGCTAGCTATAGCTGGCCCAATAGCTGGACCAAATTTGAGGAAACCATTGGGCATCCCGGGGCTAGCACAGGCTCATTTTTTATTCATGAAATTTTACGGGCAACACCGTGCATTTCAGCTATAATTATGATTTAGTACCAAACGCGGGTAAACAACGAGGGAAACTATGAGTAATATTATAAACCTTGCCCACGCTGGGTTTTAAAGCAAGTATTATATATATTATGAAATATTTGTTATTACATCTTTAAACAAAAAAATAGCGAGACATAGTTGAAACACTTAGACTAGGTTGAACCTCATAGAATAGTTTGAACCGCGTAGAATAAGTTAAGCCACTTCTGAAAATCTTGTCCTGGTGCACAAGAGAAGGGGTTCAATTTAATCTGCGTAGTTCAAGAATGTCTATTTGTTCATTAAATCTGGCCTCTAATGGACAATGATTCATAATTCTAACTATACACTACACTAAATTATTAAAGAATTCATTTGAATATTAATTAAGATAATAGTTTTACGTTCCAAAAAACATTAAAAACTAGAAACATACTGTGTGCTGAAAGTGAGTGGTGTAATTGTAATTATCGAGGATTCACTATCGATTTTTTGTAAAAAAAAAATTTTGTACATCCCTTTGTGAGACTTCTAAATGGATCAAGGCCAACAGAAATGATTTGCCCTACATTGAAACACACCAATGCGTAAATAGCGAATGTTGTATTTTTTAAATTCGCGGTTGAAATTTTGAATCAAAAGAAAACTGAAAATAATTATTGAAATTGCAGGTTTAAACAATTCAATTAAAACAGATTAAAAACGTCAAATGGCTTTCTCAAATTTGTACAAGTGTTCAAAAAGACCCAGTGCACAGGATTCAAACATAATTGTCACATAAAAACAATTTCTTAGATTTTCCCATATTTTTTAAAAACAATTTATCGTCTGTAAATTTGTTTATTTCGGTGAGCTTTAATTTCAATTTTGAGGTTTGCCAATAGTATAAACTCAAATTTTCAAATCTCTATATCTTTGCAACCTGATAGTGTAAACCTTTGATATTTAACACTAAGATTATTTAATCTAACAGAAATACTAGTTTTAAATGTTTAAGGTCTACGTCATTGAGGCACAGAGATATAGGTATTAGAAAATAAAAGTTCGTGGCAAAGGCTCAAGGTAAGGCTAAAAGGTAAGAGCTTTTTTTAAAAAACTGTTATGTTTTTCTATGCTTTAAAAAAATGTTCCACAGCTAATATAGCATATTGTAATAAAGAGCAATATCCTGTATATGTATATAATGTATATACTTCTGTGTATAAAATAAATATACAGGTGTTTCCATAGTTTGACATTGATCCCCCGCCACTACACATATTCAAGTAAATATTAATTTTATGAAACGGATCACGTGACACATAATAAAATGGTGGAGTTTAAATCTCATCTTATATTCAAGATGGTGCTGGTTTCCATATTCTTACAGGTACAAAATTCAACACATGTTTTTAGATTTGGCTTGTATATATTAAATGTTTTGTGGTAAATTTTAGCCACAAAATATTTTTTTGAAAATTTTTAAAATCTGGAAAGCAGCAAAAAGCTTATAGCATTGCAAGAAAAAAACGGCACATCATTTCTTGAGTATTATCTTTTTATAAAATAAAAACATTTTGTTGGAAAAGTATTAATATTTGATATAATTTGGTTCGTATTTTCTTGTAAATGTTTTAAACAACTTTTATTATTGGTTATTTTTGAATTTTTCAAAGCTAAATTGAGAAAAATAAAAATAAAAATAGGTTTAAATTATTGATTTTTTCATAATTCCTCAGGGAGTGGGGGGGGGGGATGTCTTGGATTTCGATGTCATTTAGCTTAATAATCAGAGAGAATTCATTTTCGAACCCAAATTGAGCACTCTTACTCATAAATAGGTATTTTGTATTCGTCTCGAACAAAGAGCATATCAAGCTTTATAAAATTTTTAATATATTTTTACCACAAACTATGATTTTCAATCGTTGCATTGCAACCCAATGTCGTAAACCATTGATATTTCTAACATGAATATTAACTGTGAAATATCAAAGGTTTAAAAATCATTTTCAAAAGATTAGAACATTTGATTTTGTTGCAAGAACAATTAACTTTAACTGACTAACATGATTTAACAGATGGTTAAATTATTATGCATAAAATATCAATTTATGTAAAGCTGTGTTTTTTCTTATATTTCAGCATTTCGTAATTAAGTTTGCTTTTATAGATTCAAATTAATAATATGGATAAAAAACCCTAGCCAATAGAAAACACGTAAAAATCGCAACATTTAAATTAACTTTATTGTCAGCTAAACTCCACAATACATATACGCAGCTTACCCACTCACATATAAGACGTGACTGAAAAGGCGACATAAAAATCTTCAAGTATGACGTTAAATCAAGTCTTCTGTCTTTGAAGGCTTATTTTATAATTTGACAAGAGTACAGTTGTGTAGGTAGTTATGAATATAGGGAAACAGTCGTCATTGCAGTCTCATCGATCCTTTGTGTTTATGAATATATAACTTTCAACATATCTCTAAAAATACTTAATAGTTTGTTTAAATGATTGCTCCATTGAAAAAAAAACAAATTTTGTAAATTAAATTTAATTGTTTTGTCTTGGAAATAATATTGTAAATATTCAGGACAAACTGACTTCCGGTGACATCACTTGCTTACTTCCGGTGGATGCAGGAATTTATTAAAATAATATTAGAATTATATTTGTTATCTGTCCCCGAATGAAAATAATATTCTAATTATCATTAGTTTATTTCAAAAATCAAATCAAAATGAGGAAAACAAATTAAATTAATAAAAAGTTTTGAAACAAAATGAGGAAAACAAATTAAATTAATAAAAAGTTCTGAAACAAAATGAGGAAAACAAATTAAATTAATAAAAAGTTCTGAAACAAAATGAGGAAAACAAATTAAATTAATAAAAAGTTCTGAAACAAAATGAGGAAAACAAATTAAATTAATAAAAAGTTTTGAAACAAAAGTTCAACGGCTTAATTTTTAATGCCATATACATACTGTTTTAAAATAAACTATTACAGCGGATCTCAATGATTAAATATTCCTTTAATTTTTTAATATTTGATGTAAAGGCCCATGTACAAAGTTTACATACAGATACTACTACGATTACACATCAGGAAATTATTCATTGAAATGAATGAAATGAATGAAATGATTGAAATGAATAAAATGAATGAAATGAATGAATGAAATGAATGAATGAAATGAATGAAATGAATGAATGAAATTAATGAATGAAATTAATGAATGAAATGAATGAAATATATGAAATGAATGAATGAAATGAATGAAATATATGAAATGAATGAATGAAATGAATGAAATATATAAAATGAAATGAATGAAATGAATGAAATGAATGAAATGAATGAAATGAATGAAATGAATGAAATGAATGAAATATATGAAATGAATGAATTAAATGAATGAAATTTAACTCTTCAAGGGCTCTGTAAAAGTTTTGCATATGGTGGTTGCGAAGGAAAGTTTATTCCGAGATTCTCACTTTAAAAAAATCAAATAATTTTAATAAAAAATGTTTCAACTTTTATCCTTAAGTATCGGAATAGACTAAATTGTTCAAAGGAAACAGTAACAACTTTTTTGAGTACAGAAACTGTTCTACAGCCTGTAAATCAATCAATAAATCAAATCCCAGGTAAATTGAATTTTAACAATTCAGCTGATTAAAAAGTCCAAGGATTGTACTGCAGTACACTTGTGCATTGCAGTACACTTGTGCACAGCAGTACACATGTGCACTGCAGTACACTTGTGCATTGCAGTACACTTGTGCATTGCAGTACACTTGTGCATTGCAGTACACTTATGCGCTGCAGTACACTTGTGCACTGCAGTACACTTGTGCACTGCAGTACACTTGTAAATTGCAATACACTTGTGCACTGCAGTACATTTGTGCACTGTAGTACAATTGTTTACTGCAGTACACTTGTGTACTTTATCATAATTGACTCTTTTTGTCTGATTCACAAAGGTACCTTTTATACCTCCATCTGAGCAACAATGATGAAGATATCATTGTTTTCCATCTTGAAAAGTGTTAAATGTTTTCATTTTCTTCATTGTCTTCAGTAAATCCTGCTGGCACGTTTACAGTGAAACTTTGAAAATAATTAATTTTCAGTCGTCCGAGCCACATTCTCCTCATTTTCTCGTCCGAGCTACCTCGGAATCTATTTTTTTAAAAATCTGGCCACGTTAGGGCATAAAATATGGATGGACTAAAGTATTGCAATGATTATATCATGTTGGAATCTTCAAACCCATGAGAATGAGTCAAACTTTATTAAGGTAAAACTTAAATCTCTTCTGCCTCCGTAATGATATAAAGTAAATAGCAAAATATTCGGCATACCTCTGCCTGTAATTTTCCCCATGGAACCACCCGGAAAAATTCTATGGTTTTCACTAAAGTTAACAAAAAAGATTGAAGTTCTATTAACTTGGAATTATATGCGGCATTCTACACCAGGAATATCTGAAAATGTGCGTAAAAAAGGTGAACATTTTTAAAGACATTAAACTTGAAATCTTTAATTCAATTGAAACTTTTTTTTCGATTTACAAAAATTTGATATTTCATTTATGCCCTAACGTGGCTTGATTCTTAAAAAATAGTTTTATCTGGAAGGATTAGACACGTAAAAAAATAATATTGAAAGGAGGAGGATTTCGAGGTGGCTCGGACGAGAAAATGAGGAGAATGTGGCACGGACGAGAAATTGTTGTGGTTGGTCTTCCTACCCTTGTTGGCCACATCATGTCAGTTTGTTATTGGCTCTAAATTACGATTTTCGCAAGTAATCGGAAAATTTAAGGAAAATGAATTGAAAATAATTGTAATAATCCATTGTAAGAATTCTCTTGAAGAAAATTTTAGAGTTTTCGTGTTAACATTGCAAATCAACCATGCCACTCTGTAGCTAGAAGGCGGGTCGTTCTTTTCAAGTAAAAAGGAAAAACAGACGTTAATTAGAGTATAGAAACAGAGAAATTAACCTACAATACATTTGCTTAATATCGTGATTTAAAAAATGTCTAGATTTCTCCCAATTTGAAAAATAATTATTTGAAAAAAATAATATCGTGGTATTATTTTAGAAACGGATCTTCACAGTTAGATAACTTATTGATTCGCGGCGTAATTTTGGACCTGGACGATATGAATCAAAATACAGATATCTTAGGTAATAATACTTCCTCAAGTTCCCAGTGTGACCGTGAATTTTGAAAAAATTGCATTTAAAAAAATCCTATTTTTCAAAAAATAGATTTTTGAGAAAAAAATAGGTTTTTGAAAAAAGATTCTAAGTTTTTTAAGCCTTATTTCTAGGGTACCCATGGGTTCCCTCAAAAAAATTCCGCCAGTTCGCGGTTCAGCCGTTAACATTTATATATAAATATCTTTATAATAACACTCTTCGCTCATTGGAAAATATATATTAAAGATCATATATTATATACATTATATTTTAAAGATCCGAAGATTTATTTTATAATCATTGAAATAATTTGCTTACCGCCTTTTGACCAACATTATCGACCTCCCCCAGCATGGGGAAGTTAAGTTACTTCCATTACGTCCCTTGGGACAGTTATGTAAAAGAACTACCCGCTTTTCGAAGTTTTCAGGAAAAAATTCGCGCATTTTTATTTTCATTATTCCTGAAATTGAAATATTTAAAAATTATGTAAAAATTTATCTACTCTCCTTTTTATTTTTGAAATTACACAATTGAAGTCAGAAAACCAAGGATCGTAGCCATCTTAATTTGCTAAGAAATACTTTTGCGTATTTTTTTTTTATAGATTTTCAATCTGGTTTCAATAATTCTGGAAACTGGAGCTCTGAGTTCCTTGAAATAATATCGGAGCCTGGTTCTAGAGAAAATATGGCGGCTGCACCACTCAGCGGAGAGCACCACGCGACTCTTTACAAAGAATTCTTGGCGGCACCGCGCTCACAGGTATGGACTAAGCGAGGGGAGGAAGGCAAACCTCATTCGAGCCACATTCTTGTAATAATTGTATTCACCTGATTCACCTGAAAAAGTGCATTTTACTTTACATATTATACTGCAACATAAACTATTGACAAGTGCATTATATAATATACTGCAACATAAACTACTGAAATTTTCAGATTTTCAAACAATCTTTAAAAACTTGACACACTACAATTTTTTATAATGAAAATTTTGCGAAGAATTTTTTTTTAATGAGCTGCTAACATTCCTACAAAAGAGTTGAGTTTTTGTCACAAACCCAAATTTTATTATCTCTATATCGTTGCAACTTGATTGTATACACCTTTGATATTTCAAACTTAGCTTACTTGATCTACCAGCATTAATAGTTTGAAATATCAAAGGTCTATGAGATTGGGTTTCAAAGATCTAGGGGTAAGAAAATCAGAGATTGTGGCTAGAACTCTGCTCCTTACAAAAAAATCTTGCGACCATTTTTTATTGAAAGAAAAAAACCAAGACGATAATCTACAAAGCTGAACAAGACTAAAACTTCATTGAAAAGCCGATCTTTTCTGCATTTCCTTCTTTGATCTTAGATTTGTCAGTGCCACACATTTCATTGTTGAATTTAAAAACGACATTTACGCAATCTTATATAACTGTAAATAGTTGAAGGCTTCCATGGTATAACTAATCTCCTATTTTCCAAAGAAAGTGAGCTTTCTTTTTCTAAAATCCTGTATTTTAAAATTTGTGCTTTAGGCGGAAATAGATTTCTCGGTATTCACTCAGAGAATTTCTGGAAATAAATCATTCCCGAGAAACACATCTTTCACGATCAGGTGAATAATCAATTCAAATTACGTAGTTTATACGGTTCTCCGGAATCTCTACCGCCATTTTCTTCTCAAAACCGCGCAGTTAAATTTCTTTTACCGGAAATAATATTATTTTTATCATATACATAACATTAGAAAAATTAGCATATTTTTCTATTGTGTTTGGAAAATATTTCAGATAAAAATATTTAGATATATTAATCCTAACCTTAGACGCAATTTTAGTCCTAACAAAAACCAAGCTTCGATCATCGGTTTAGTCTTCTTGAAGTTATTTCAGATATATCGAAAGGAACAAACCAACACCTATTAATATACAGTGAAACCCTTAATAACGAATACATTGAAAGAATTCACCAAATGTCGTATTCTTCACTTTCTGATAATGGAATGTTGCAGATATTTAGTTTTTTAAGTAAATGATTATATGGAACTCTTTAAAACTGTTCCCGCATATTCATGGATATTTATTTATTTTCGCAAATACTGAAATTTACGTAATATAGTATAAAACTCATTGAAAAATTGTCAAGACGACATTTCATAAATTCTTCCGATGTATTCGTTATTAAGGGTTTCACTGTACCTTTAAAAGTATTTGATTTTTTCTGAAATTTAACAAATTAATTCAATTTAAACGTTTTTTAAATTGATATGAAAAATTTTCTGTTTAAACCTGGAACAAAATATACATCGCTTTAATTCTTGAGGTTGGAGGATGCTTTGACCGGCCTGGGAGCTGATGTGGTTAGTTTAGATGACCTGGAGGTTGTAGAGGAGAAATGGAAAAGGTTTAGATTCTCAGTTCTTGTCAGGTAATATCTATTCATGCAACTGTTTCGCGAAAACAATTTTCGCGAAATTTCGCATTGTTTTAGTATTTTTTCGCAATATTCATTTTCACGAAAAAATGCAAAATCCTACTGTCTTGTGCTATCATACGGGACAATTTGTTTTTTGGCCGGGATTTTTACTTTTTTCGGTTGTTTAAGGTTTAAATCCTAGATTTTTAACCACAACGTAGTGGGTGATTAAAAATCTTGAATTTAAACAGAAAACAAACAAAAAAAGCTAAAAATCCCGGCCAAAAAACATAATTTCCCAAATGATAGCACAAAACAGTAGCATATATAAATTTATTCAATTCAAGCCTCATGAAAATGTCCGTTTTTTGATAAATCCACGAAATAAAAAGGGAAACCTGCCTTGTCGGTATAAAATGTTACTTATTTTCCTCGGTACAAATAAGAAACTTTTTATACCTTCTTTCTGTGTCTAATGTTCACTGTTTACTGAATTATTTCAATATTACTCAAAGTCAAAAATAGAGTTAAAAGTCGTCTTCCTATTCTTTTATCTGCGTAACAATGGGGAAGATATCGTCGGTGTTCCTTCTTAAAAAGTAATAAATTCTCTAATTTACATTTTTTTCTTTGCTGCATAAAACATGGAAGCCATTTTTAAGAGAACCCCACTATATGAAATCATCCTGCAGAACTTAATGTTTACAGAGATTCGGGTACTCAATAAAAATGTGACATTTTTGTTCTTACTTCACAAACTTCTTCGCAAAATTTCGCATTTTTCGTAAAAAATGAATTTAACGAAAAAAATACTAAAACAATGTGAAATTTTGCGAAATTTTTTTTTGCGAAAACCAAAAGTTATGTAGTTCATAATGAATAATTTCTCTTCCGTATTATTTAAAAAGAATTTTTAGCATATATTTTATCACGAAATTTTCGCAATTCTTATTTCGCAAAATTTGGCACTTTTTCGCGAAACATGTTAAAGCAAATTTCGCTAAAATCCCAAAAAATATCTATTTTTTCGCGGCAAACTGAATGCATAAAAATATTCTCGCAAAAAATGTGAGATGTTCGCGAAACGATTTATCCTTTTCGCTGGAAACCCTAGAATAAAGCCTTATCATTTGTGGATAACACTGTATAAATATCAACATCGTAATTATTGTATCAAAATATATCAGATTTATAATATTTTCAGTAAAACGGAGAGACGCTTTATTCTGAAGTTTAACATAACTGGAGAAAGAGGAATTGGAGTTGGAGATGGGGGAATTGACGAGAGAGATGGAGGCGTTGCAGGAGATGGAGGAGATGGAGGTGTTGGTGGAGATGGAGGTGTTGGAGGAGAGAATGGGGCAAACAATGAAAGCAGTATATATTTGGATGATATTAAGGAACCACATTTTCAAATCTTAATCTGAAGTGGACATTTATTTAGAGATTTAAATGCCAGATTCACAACGCTATCATTCAAACCGTTATGATTCTAGCAATGATAAAAAAAGGTTCTGTTGTGAATTAAGAATTTAATGGACAGTTTCTTGATATTTCGTTGCAATGAATCTGAAATGAGACAGTAAAATGAAATGTTTGAAACATTTTTTATCAATTTTACTAAACTAGATATTTTATAAATTTGGTTTCTAGGTTCGATTAATACAGTTGGTTAATCAGGATAATTCAACAACAGATTCATTCCTCTTCCAGGATAAAACAACAACAACAACAACATCATTATACACATCATCAACTGTATCAGGAATGTCCTCCCTGAAAACAACAGCAACAACGTCTAATTTAACAACAACAACAACAGCAGGATACAATACAACATCTTTCTTTAGTACATCCACATCTTATTCCTCAACACTTTCATCTTCTCCTCAATCTTCTCCATCATCATCATCATTATCATCATCCTCATCATCGTCATCATCATCATTATCATCATCTTCAACATCTCAAAATCCATTATTAACTTCCCCTGGTTTAAGGTATACACACTTTAAAAAACTTTGATTAAAACATAGCAATGTTGCAGTTTGATCAAATGGTCTTTTCACCAAAAATGTTCAAAAAATCTTTTTTTACTTTTAAGAAATAAAAATGAGTTATTTTTTCAATAATACAATTGTAGTACAACCAACAGTACTGGTTCAACCAACAGTACTGGTTCAACCAACGGAGTTGGTAATTCTACAATTAACACTTCTGACAGTTATACAACAGCTTTCAACAGCTCCACAACAGCTTTTCCTGAGGAAACAACAGCTTTCAACAGTTCAACAACAGGTTTTAACGGCTCAACAACTCTGGAACCAACAACACCTAGCAACGGAACGTCAGGCGAGCTTTAACAATTTTAATTTTAAGAAATCATGTTATAGAGAAATACACAATTTTAAATACTTGAATTGAAAAACAGTTTAATCATATTTTAAATTTCAAATTTAACATTCTTTATAGAATTTAATTTAATTATAATTTAATTTTTAGTGACCCTACCTAGTGACCCTACCTAGTGACCCTACCTAGTGACCCTACTTAGTGACCCTACCTAGTGACCCTACCTAGTGACCCTACCTAGTGACCCTATGTAGTGACCCTACCTAGTGACCCTACCTATCGGCACTACCTAGTGACCCTACCTAGTGAGTTACCTAGTGAGTTACCTACTGACCCTACCTAGTGACCCTACCTAGTGACCCTACCTATTGACCGTATTTTTTTCTATAAATATATTTAAATAAATATAAAAAATAAAATTTGTTTCTAGGTGTAGTTGAGAATCTAATAGCTGAGGAAGGAGGAAGGTAATAATTATTTTCATTTACAGGGTTACCCACAAATAATGAGACTTTATTGACGACCTAAAACTTTTCCTTCAACGATTTGAATTTAGGGTTTCTGCGGTGGCATTTTTAAAGATTTTGCCACGGCTGCAGGAAGCCATGAGTGTAAAAAAGAATTTCATACAGTCGTCTCTGAAGTGTCATTCTTTGTGGGTAACCCTACACTTTACTGGGATTTGGGAAGTGATAAAGGAGCTTTACTTTGGGTTCCCAAAACCAATTTTGCAAAGCAAAACGAGGGATTTTTATAAAAAAATTAGTCGAGGGAAACCGTGGTTGAGTAAAGTTGCATTGCTTTTGAGATGAAAATGCGCGAATTTTTTAACGAAAACCTATCAGAGTAATTTTTTCCGCCCAACATAAGATCTCTTTATCTCTAGACAACAAGTTTTCCGCCCAACATAACATCTCTTTATCTCTAGACAACAAGTTTTCCGTTCAACATAACATCTCTTTATCTCTAGACAACAAGTTTCCGTTCAACATAACATCACTTTATCTCTAGACAACAAGTTTTCCGTTCAACATAACATCTCTTTTACTCTAGACAACAAGTTTTCTGTTCAACATAATATCTCTTTATCTCTAGACAAAAAGTTTTCCGTTCAACATAATATCTCTTTATCTCTAGACAACAAGTTTTCCGTTCAACATAACATCTCTTTATCTCTAGACAACAAGTTTTCCGTTCATCATATTATCTCTTTATCTCTAGACAACACGTTTTCCGTTCAACATAACATCTCTTTGTCTCTAGACAACAAGTTTTCCGCCCAACATAATATTTCTTTATCTTTAGACAACATGTTTTCTTTGTTTGTTTTAAAGTCACTAAGTTTCAAATTGTCTTAAAAATTAAAACTAAATTTATAGAACTAAAAGTCCCATGGACAGAAAACAAAGTGGGGGGGGGGGAATTACCAATCCCTTAAGTTTTCTTTTAAATTATGAATGAATTATTTTTCCCAATATTTTAGATCTGCAACAAGTAGAGCAGAATTAGGTGTTTTAATCTTTCTCGTGGTGGGGTTTGCACTCTCAACCGTGTTTGTAGTCTTCAAGTATTATCATCTTAGGAAGATAATTTTTTTCATTTATAAAGATTTTTCAGAAAAAAAAACTTAGTTTTAAAACTTTTAGAATTTCATACTTTTTTAAAAATTTCATTCCTTTTCAAGTTTCTGTACTTTTTATGCAATTATGCTTTTTGATTGAAATGAAAAAATATCTTTGATATAGAAGGACAATGGGAGACTACAGTGTAGCAGCAAATAGGTATCATTTATCCACTTAGGCTATTGATAGAAATAATTATAACCATTAAAAATATTAGTTTTTTATTAGTAAGAACAAAAGTACATATTTATTATTTTCCTCATTTATAAATAAAAGATTAACAAAAAAAAGAATAATGTAATGAAAATAATAATAATGATTATAATAACAATGATAATAATAATAATAGTTATAATAACAATGATAATAATAATAATAATTATAATAACAATGATAATAATAATAATAATTATAATACCAATGATATTAATAATAATAATTATAATAATAATGATAATAATAGTAATACTAATGTGAATTGTGAACTAAACATAGTTCACAAAGGTAAATAATCTTGTAACAGTTACTGCAACTCCAAAGAGATTGAACTCTTATCAAGTTTGGGTCCAGACCAAGCCAAGCTTCAAACGGTATTGAACTCTTATCAAGTTTGGGTCCAGACCAAGCCTAACTTCAAACGGTATTGAACTCTTATCAAGTTTGGGTTCAGACCAAGCCTAACTTCAAACGGTATTGAACTCTTATCAATCAACAACAACAACAACAACAACAACAACAACAACAACAACAACAACAACAACAACAACAACAACAACAACAATAACAACAATCATAATCAATTTGAAATGCATATCAGCAGAAACAACAAAATATTCAAACAACAACAACATTGTAGTGTAATAAAATCATTAAGTTAAACTACTTAATTAACTACATCGAAACAACAAGTTATAATAGGGTTTCCAGTGAAAAGGAAAAATTGTTTCGAGAAAATTTCACATTTTTGGAGAAAAATAATTTTCGCGAAAATTTTCGTATTTTCGCGAAATTTTGCTTTAATCTGGTAATTTGCTTTAATTGGGTAATTTTTTGTGAAATAGAAAATGAAAAAAATTCGCAAAAAATATAAAGCGAAAATTTCGCGAAAAATTTAAAATTATGAAAAAAATAAATTTCACGAAAAAAAAACAGAATTAAAAAAAAATAATTTGCCCATTTCGCGGGACTTTTTGTCCGAAATGCGTCAGAAAATTTTTCGCGGAACATTTCTTTCGCTGGAAAACCTAGATACACATATCACTATGTTCATCGTAGAAGAATAGCATTATACAAATACTTAATTCCTTGATAGGAACCACTGTTTAAAAACCTTTAAATATCGAACAACGACTAAAACCCTTTTTGCATGATATCCAATATTTTAAAGTCTACTTTAAAGTTAAAGTTACTTAAACTATATCTATATGTATTACTTTTATATTCTTCTATGAATATTTACTTTGCTTGTCTGTATGGGTGGGTGTCTGTTTGTTTGTGTTCAATAAACTACAGCACGATCGGGTCAAAATTTTGTGTGGGACTGACATGACCCCAGGAATGGTTTATAAATGATCAAAATTTCAAAAATTTTCCTCCAACAAAATTCGATTTTCATTAAATTTTTTAAATCGACGAAATTTTTTTTATAAAATCCGTAAACTTTTTTGTTTGTTTATGTTTTACAATGTTTACAAAGAGAAAATGTTCACAACTTAAATAAATATTAATTAAAATAATTAAGAATATTGTTTAAATTTTATGCTTTAAATAAATATTTTAAAATACATGTATACATATAAAAAAGTAAACTTTTTACAGATCTAATGTTTATTCGAAAAAAAATCATATAATGTATATCGTATATAGCATACAGAGATATTTAGTTGGGTATACACAAATTGTACAGCACTTTTTAATCTAGTCTATGTAAATTGTAAATGAAAAATAAATTTTATTAAAATTGTCCATTTCTAAAGCTAGGTGCGTTGGTTTCAAGGAGTATGAAATAGAAGGGAGATACAACTGACGCGGCCAGCCCTACCATTTGATTATGCATGCTTTGCAGAGGGTACTACATTTGAATAAGAAATATTTGTCTGATGTACAATTACCACGTATACAATAACCTATTCTACAGTGAAACCCTTAATAACGAATACATCGGAAGAATTTATCAAATGTCGTCTTGTCAATTTTTATACTATATTACGTAAATTTCAGTATTTGCGAAAGTAAATAAATAGCCATGAATATGCGGGAACAGTTTTAAAGAATTCCATATAATCATTTAATTAAAAAACTAAATATCTGCAACATTCCATTATCAGGAAGTGAAGAATACGACATTTGATGAATTCTTTCGATGTATTCGTTATTAAGGGTTTCACTGTAAATATTTCTTATGCAAATGGAGTACCGTCTGCAAAGCATCAATAATCATATCTATTCCATACTTCTTGGTTGGGTTTCTTCAACTTGAATTTAATCATTTTTTGATCTATAATTCAACAAGGGGGCGGAGGGGGGGGGGCGGAGTCCGTATTTCGATAAAATTCCAGAGTACGCGACATAAATCAATATACTTAGTAAAATGGAGATTGTNAGAGGAATTAAAAGAATCTCTCGGTATGAATTTTTTCAGTCCCTTTCAGCCTGAAAGGGAGTTCAAAGTGTACAAATCATGTAAATGTTCACAAATTATATGCAGTAGAGTACATTAATACAGTATGTTCCCTAGACTTTCCATTTCAATTTCGAATTTTTTTAAGCTGTTAAATAAACTTTATAAAATGAGGTGAATAAAAAACATTTTTTGATTTATAGTTATACCGGAAAATCATCGTTTGTAAAGTGAAAGGCATAGACTATGTGAAATTATCATTGGTCAATTAAGAAACCAGCCTATTTCATAATTTGGTTTTCTATTAATATTAATTTTAGATTTTCTATAAAATGATGTTATTTAGCATAAATATGTGAAGTACACCTGCAGTAGGGAAACAGTACAACAAAATTGCACTTTTTTCCAGTAAATTCCCCTCTAATATATTCTATTCTCTTTGGGTAAGACCGTACATTAACGACAAAAAGAAAAATTCAACAAAACTATTTTTGTTTTGGATTTTGAAGGAATGTTGTCGTTTAAAGGTTTAAAGTGTAAACAAGATGATTAATTTACTCCGAGACTAATCAGTAAAATATCGATAGTTACAAGATTATTAATTTACTCCTGGACTAATCAGTAAAATATCGATAGTTACAAGAATGGCGGGATTATCGTTCTTATTTCTTTTATTTTCCGCAAATTTAATCGTATTCTCCCGCAGGTAAAAGGGTGTCCAAAAACATGACGTCTTTTTTAGTCTTGGATTAAAGCGGTATTTATACAGGGTGTCCCACGAAACATGACAGTTGGTAAATAGTTTAGAATGTCTTCTTCCATAATTTGTTAAGTTATTTAATACCAAAGACAATAATAAAACATTATATAGACGTCATATTATAGTAAAATTAATTTCAAAGTAAAATATATATGAGCAAAAGAATTCTTAAACGAAGTAAACTGCAAACAGCCTTTAATCTAATACAGTGTATGGAAGACGACATTCAAAACTATTTACCAACTGTCATGTTTCGTGGGACACCCTGTACTTGAAATAATATTACAGTAAATACTATTTAAAGTGTAGGTGTCCTGCATGGAGAGCCTATATACTTTGCATGAAAGGCCTACCTCTGTGTTTGACCATTTACTTCCTCGCAAATGTCGTCATCTATTCAAATTATAAAACAATCATTATTATTTCTTCAAAACGTAGAAATAATTTAAATATAGTTTAATAAATAATATAATTTAAATATAATTTTCAATGCGAATACCCAATAAAAATACATTAATTAATGTCGAAAAGTGTCGAAATATTGATTTTGATGTCTGAAATTTTGTTGAAATGGTGTTAACACTATTAGGGTGTCCGGCAGGGTGGTGGGCTCGACTATGCATATAGGGTGTCCCACGAAACATGAAAGTTGGTGAATAGTTTTCAATCTCTTCTTCCTTGATAATACTGTATTAGATATGTAAATCTTTTTGTAGTTTATTTCGTTAAACAAATCTTTTACTCACATATATATTTTTTTGAAATCAATTTTATTATAATATTACTGCTATTTAGTATTTATTATCGTCATCTTTGGTATCAAACAGCTTAACAAATTATGGAAGAAGACATTTTAAGCTGTTCACCAACTGTCACTTTTAATGGAACACCCTGTATGTGCCATTTTTGTACATAGGAATGAATAAGATAAAAAAAATTAAAATTGTATAAATATCTCCGTCAATTTTTAACAACCGATAAAGATTTTAGAAATCTATTTATATGTTCGGCCTGCCTGTTGAGGCATTTTCCTTTATTAACAGTTTAAAATTAAAAAAAACGTTTTTCATGTCGTCTCTGTAAATGCATTTTTTATTAATGAGCAATATATATTAGTGTTAAATACCATATACAGTGGTCAGCAGAATTAACTGGACCCGGGGATCTCTTTTATGGAATGTTGTCAGCATTTATCCTTATCCATATAATAAAACAAGACATTCGTATATATGTATGTTGCCTATAGCCGGCCATACGGCTGGATCGATTGGGCTGAATTTTTTGAGGACACTTAGGGGTGGCCGGGGGGTGTTATAGGATAAAAAATTCGAATTTGTTTTTTTCTTTCAAACATTAAATTTGTTTTCTGAATTTTTTTCCACGGGTAACAGCGGGCCCTTCAGCTAGTTTTACATAAAGCTTAGAATACTGCCTTTAAAGCGTATGATAAATGATTTTGACACGAAAAACAAACCTGTGAATAAATTAAAATGTTCTGAACTTGTAGGGATGTCGTCTTATTTCCAATTATAAATGTCGTCTTCGTGTTAGTTTATTTCCAGATATTTAATACAAACTGTAGAAGCTCCGGAAAAAATAGAAAAAATAAACACACAAATTCATGAGGTAATGCACAACCTACAAATATCATATTGAATACTAAACCGTATAACTACATTGTTTCAAAATGCATAAATTAAATATAAAAAAAATCTTCTTTTTGGAGATACCCAAAAAAGATGAGACTTCAGATGCGATAGTCCGGAATTAAAGCCCTCTTTTTAACTACAGTCTTGGTTCTCTTCATTGTTAAACTTGTTTCGTTCTTGAAGCGGTTGAACAAATTGTAAATTTCTTCTTAATTTCTTATTCTGAACTGCCTAGAGTCTAGGCTAGATCTCAACCGCTCGTTCAACTGCTCCCGCTGAGTGGCGAAAAATAATCGATGACTATAGGTTGTAATATCTGAATGATTTGTTAGAAATTAAATTGATTTTTTACGGTCTAAGTCGTATATGTTACAATTTTCTCAATTTGTATGGACGCTAAGTTATTCGGTATGAGACGTCTTTAACAATTTTTTCCTTATATAGACGCAACAGATAGAAGTAAGATTAGTAGCGATCAAAAGCACTTTTTTATCGCATTAAGCCTATACCCCCTTTCATTTTTCGCGAACACTCCCTTTAAAGTGTAATTTTTTTGACATTTTCCCTTAGTTATAAAGTTTCAAATTTTAGTAGGATAAAAACACTTTTCCTATATTCTTTATTTTCATAGCAGTCGATGCCTCTGGAGAATTTTTAGAATAGAATTTTTTAGAGACAGCTGCCAGTTTCAAAATTGCAACCTCTTCCTTTAACAAATGGAGTAGATGGCATGGATTATTTTGTTAACAATTGTGGAAGTATTGAATGTAATTGCGAGGAGAAAAACAGAAGAAAAAGATCGGTATGTTATTAAGCTAGTCTAAAATCTAGAAAAACATGATCGAATACTTCTTCTTAATTTCAATCTGTTTAAAAGGGAGAATTAAATCATTGGAAATTATTTAATAATAGGTAAATTATCTGCTAAATAAAATAGAACTATTGTGTACTACAAAATACAGTCGTGTATATCAATACAATGAAGACGACTTTTTATTTTATTTTTTGATTTTGAAACAACCATGAATATGGGAACAATGAGAAGCTGTCAATTAACATCTCCTCTGGTTAGAAATCAAAACTTAAATTGAAAAGTAGTTTTCATTGTTTTGATATAAACCTCGTGGTTAGTATCATCCCCTGCTAGATAATATACCGTGAGATATATCCAACGAGGTTATAGTGTATAGAGTGATGATGTACGCTAATCCTTTACTATTTGTATAGGCCATAAACTATACCGAGAGCGTACTGCATATTTGTTTATTATAAGGAGATTCTGGCCCAACCTTTAGTATATCATTAAATGTTAACAGTTGTAAGTGTACAGTTCAGCTTACGTAGCACACCGGTAGAGAACTATCATTCTTCTGGGATATATCTCACTAAAGGACTAGCAGGGTATATATAATTTAATCTGTATTTTTTCTGTTTTTAATCAGAATAATTTGTTTTCAATAATGATTTGACACTTAATGAAACTTTTTAAAAAATGCAATGGATTAAAATCTGTTAAAATCATTCTCTAGCTTTCAGAAGGGAAATTTCAGTTCAATCTCTCAATTGTCAAAAGTACAAGGCGCGCATACGGTTGATCTGTAATCAATTAAATATTTCAAATTTTTTTTTCTTTTAGATTGAAATGAGCTTTTGCTGTTTGTGTGGATCCATTACAACAATTTAAAACCTATAATTCAGAAGTCAATCCAAAACTAGACAAGAAGCTTTCAAAAGGAATTGAGTTTTTGCCACAAATTCTGATTTTCTAACCTCCATATCTTTTTAATCCAATGTCGTAGACCTTAGGTATTTCAAACTATAAATTCAATTATAGATCAAATAATCTAAGTTAGAAAAATCAAAGGTTTGCACCATCAGATTACAAAGATATTGGGATCAGAAAATTTGAATTTGTGGGAAGAACTCAATTCCTTTAATCAGAATCGTTATAAATATTACTTGCTAAAGAAATTTAAATGTTGGAATCAATAAATCAATAAAAACCATTTCGGAAAATTATAAAAGTGCTTATAGGATATCTTTATGGGTTAAATTGAAGAAAGTCGTCTAAAAAAGTCATCAAATATAATCCATAACATTACTTTTTTTACTCATTTTTAATCATCTTTTAATGCTGTTAAAACCAGTTTATTTCTTGTACAAGGCCGACTTTCAAGCAGTATACAGCGTAAGCTGTAAAACAAACTTATAAAAAACAAAACAGAACAGTACTTCAAATGAAGCAGTCCCTTCTATGGAGATTCTATTGGGAAAGGGGCTTTTTTGTTATATAAAGTGAAATATGTCGTTAAGTATTTTTATATATTGAAATTAGACCAACAAACAGCTAGGTTAGAATAGAGTTTCTAACGCAAGTGAGTTTTACTTGCCGGCAATTGCGAGCCCCGTTATTCCGCGCAATTCCTCATAATTCCGCGCAAATCCTCGTAATTCCGCGCAATTCCTTATAATTCCTCACAATTCTTCGCAACATACTTTCGATTTGAAGCCCTACCTAGAATGCAAGATACAAGATGTCCTAATAAACATAGGAATTCGGTAACTTAAAAAATTTGTTAACATGTTTAATATCCCCGTTAATTTTAAAGATTCAAAGTAGCACTTTTTGGAAAGCTCTTGTTAAATACAATCTATTCTTGAAAAAAAATCTTCGTCAATTTAAGGAAATTAAATATGCACTTTCAAGTCGTCTCTCTTAATTTCCATGTTTATTGGTACACACTGTGCAAGACAATATTAATATCAAATCATAATTTTCTGTTATTCAAACATTTTCAAATTCAGTGCAGTGCAATTTTTGTGGCACGAAACGCAAAATTTTTCTTTCTTTGGGCATCAATTTTGCGCGAAAAAACAAAAATTTGCGCAATCATTCGCAAAAGTCATTTCGCGCAAAATTTCCCTATTCCGCGTTTTCGAAACTCAAGTTTTGCGCAATTCCGCAACTAGAGTTTTGCGCAATTCCGCAATTTCGTAAAAATCAAACGGTTGGTGACCGTGTGTGTTTCTTAGAATTCAATTCTGGAAAAATCTTTGGAATTTCTTCCTGTGGGTCACTTTTACATAATTGATCAAGGACAGTTAAGAAGAGTTCAAATCTCACAATTTTCTCGACAATTTTAGTTTTGGACATGCATATTTCCTAAAAGTGGATTCTTCAGGCATTGGTTACTTTCTTGCATTATTTTATATGAGATTAAAAAGATTTCAGAAATTTGATTACAAAAATTTAAGAGTATAATTCATACTTGATTAGGCAAAGCTTTTAAGGGTCACTTGAAATTATTTAATAGGATTAAAATATTGCCAAGTTTCACACTCTCTAATTTCTATTTTATTAATTTTGGTCCCTTAATTTAAACTTTTTGTAACTGAAAGTAACCAATTGAGTGTAGTATAATCGTTATCATACTAGTATGTTAATATTTTTTTTATGTATGGAATAAATCTTCAGTTGTTTAATTCTCAGCTTAGAATATCAATTTTTGACAACTTGCCTAAAAAGTAACATTTTGCGTAAAACTTGCGGTTTTGCGCAAATTGCGCAAAAAAATGCGCAAAACTAAAATTTCGTTTCATGCGCAACTTTCGCAAAAAATATTTCCGGTTTTGAGCAAAAAATAGCACAAAACCGCGCAAAACTCATTGCGTTTCATGCGCTAAAATAGCGCAAAAGTTCGCAAAAAAAAATTTGCGCGAAAAAAACGCAAATTTTGCGCAAAAGATGTAGCCATTTCGTGGAAACCCTAAGTGCATTATAGTTTTAAAACGGATTATTATATGTACAGTAAAAAAGGTTGCCAGCTCTGACGCAAAAATCGATGAGAATTTTGACTTCTTTAAAACTAAAGATAAAATCAGATTTTTTTATTTTTAGAAAGTACATATTTATGGGATTTATACGCAAAACCCGACGCCTCAATTGGGTTCAATAAGAAGTCAAAGAATGTCGTCCTTTCTATAATTAAAAACGATTTTAGGACTTTTAAGCATTTCCATCACCGAAAACTTGCGTTTTTTACATAATTTGCCTTTAGAAATGCACAACTTTATTTTCTTTTTATATAAACTTTATTTAAAACAGACTGCAATGTAATTGGTTTTAAAAATTTGGCTACTTAAAACCAAATTTTTTCGGGCTTTGCTCACGTTACTGGCATAAAATTCTGCTTTAGACTATAACAAAACTAAACTTAATGACATTCTAACAAATTTTGTTTTAAAATATATGGTATTTTTCATACTAATGAGATGCGTAACAAAATCACAATTTTAGCTTTATTTTAGCAGGAGAGCATCCAATCCTATCACTGATTAAAACAAATGTAGAAGTTTATAACCGTGTCGTTATTTTCCCACCATTTTTAGCACCTAATGATTAATTTATTTGATAACTAGAGTTCTAATGTTGATTGTTTGAATCTAAAACCAGTACTGCAGCCAAAGACGTCATATAAAAGTGTACAGAGCGTACACACTAATCGGATAAATTCCTAATGCCCTTCTTCTTCTACTATTCTACCGTCTTTGGGTATAAAGTATAGAATGCTGATAGGCAATGTGTAGTGTGTACAGGGAATTTGTACAGTCCCCTCAAAAGTTGGCGAAAAGGTCAACATGTACATATAAAGAAGAGGGGGATTTTTGCAGACGTTATTTTGATTATGAATCAAAATTTAGAAAATATAGTTTTAAAGCTTTTGTCCATGCATGGTCCCTAAATAAGGAACTGTAGACTTTATATTTAGTTCAACGAGGTCCCCTATAAGCTTTGTAATATTAAATTAATGAGTAAGATATCCATATCTTTAACAGTAAAAGGGACCACGGCAAAAATGGCCAGAATTCAAACACTTTATTATTCTTCACTTTCTAATAATGGAATGTTGCAGATATTTAGATTTTTAATTAAATGATTATATGGAACTCTTTAAAACTGTTCCCGCATATTGATGGCTATTTATTTATTTTCGCAAATACTGAAATTTACGTAATATAGTATAAAACTCATTGAAAAATTGTCAAGACGACATTTGATAAATTCTTCTGATGCATTCGTTATTAAGGGTTTCACTGTAGCATAAAAACGATATCTTCCAAATTATAGATCAGACAAAGGTTTAAAGAGTACAGTTGTGAGTCTTTAAATGAAGGGAAGATAAAATTTATTATCATAAATACATAAAGTTTTTGATTTTTAGAAAAAATCTATTATCATATACAAAACCTTTTTGTCCAAAAGTATTTATCTATACCTATGACACCGATTCCCTTTGGTCTCTGATCTCTGTTCTTATTGCAAAGACGACGGATTTCATCTAAATCTATGTAAAAGGGGACCAGTGAATAAGTGTCATCTATGTTATTCCTTTTTACGTTAGAAGTTCACTAAGGATTTGAAATTTGGAATTGTTGCATACCTAAAAAGCGTCAAGGCAAAATTTTTAGTTATTAAAAAGAAAACGAAATTTTACTGTTTTCTGTTTTCTTTTTTCTGTTTTCTGTTTTCTGTTTTCTGTTTTCTGTTTTCTGTTTTCTGTTTTCTGTTTTCTGTTTTCTGTTTTCTGTTTTCTGTTTTCTGTTTTCTGTTTTCTGTTTTCTGTTTTCTGTTTTCTGTTTTCTGTTTTCTGTTTTCTGTTTTCTGTTTTCTGTTTTCTGTTTTCTGTTTTCTGTTTTCTGTTTTCTGTTTTCTGTTTTCTGTTTTCTGTTTTCTGTTTTCTGTGTTCTGTTTTCTGTTTTCTGTTTTCTGTTTTCTGTTTTCTGTTTTCTGTAAGAATAATTATACAATATCGAAAAACTAATTTTTAACAAACCAAATCTCAACAACAAAATAACCGAAGAATTTAAATATTTTAATCGTTTTCGTTAAAGCTTGAAACATGTATTCACTCCTATCAATTAGTATTGTGTGTGAACATGAAATAAACAAAAAATAACAACAATGGACTAATCAGTAAAAAAACAGTTTGCCTGTATGCCTTGCTACGCGTGAAGGTTTGAAATGAAATATACATTTCTAGTATCCTGTCTTATTTTAGGTTTTGTTGTTGCCAACACTAAAAGGTATTATTCTATATTCAATTCATAAAAATATTTAACTCTGAATTGTGTTGAAGTACCCCCAGTTTTTCTTTTATTTAACTTTTTTTATTTTAAATAGATTTGCTTGAAGGGCCGGTTTTGCAAAGCAAACAAAATTTTATAATTGTAATTTTGAAATGCACATTACTTTCAACCCTTCCGAAAACAATAAACTGTCTTTTTTATAAAATATTTAATACGAATTAAGATTAATCAACAATAAAAAAGTGGCAATGTACGAGTTAAAAAGTGGCAATGTACGAGTTAAAAAGTGGCAATGTACGAGTTACAAAGTGGCAATGTACGAGTTAAAAAGTGGCAATGTACGAGTTAAAAAGGTCCGAACTGGGAAGTTTTGTCTGATCAAGTTAAATTGTGAAACTCAGAACTCTGTAAATGAAGGTTAACCTGAGCTGAAAACTTTAGAATGGTGGATATCAGGATTAAGGCTTAATCCACTCTTTTTCTTAATCTCCAGATTAAATATTGCTTAATTAATGCATGATTTTAATCTTCAGATTAATTATTCGACGGGATATCTGGATATTTCATTCTAAAGTTTTCAGCTCTGAAAACTTTAGAATGGTAGATATCGAGATTAATGTTTGATTCTCTCTTTTTCTTAATATCAAGACTAACCTAATCTTGTACTTGTATCCAGTAAAGTGTATAAAGTTCAACCAATCAGAGTCGCGTATAAGAAGCCAGTAAATTTGAAATTTTGCGCGCCATTTAAGATTATATACACAAATGGGAGGAACTCTCTAATTTAGAAAAACCTGTTTTTGATATTCTCATCTATATCCAGGAAAGAACTGTTTAAAAAGAAAATCAAAAGTGTGTCTATTAGATACTCAGATTAAGTAATCAGGGATTAAGGATATCTCATTCTAAAGTTTTCAGCTCTGATGGTGTAAACCTTTAATATTTCAAACTTTTAACTTATAATATTCGATCTATTAGAAATCATAATTTGAAATATTTAAAATCTACGACATTGGGTTGCAAAGATATAACGATTAGAAACTCCCAGCGTGTGGCTAAATCAGGGCGGTTCATGCCATTCTCTTCGATAAATTTTTTGCATATTTGATTTTTTTAGTAAATTGTCAAAAGTATACGAAGTTAAACATTTTTTGGAGACAATTTTTTGTTATTTAAAGCATCCATATAAACCATCCATATAAAGCATCCATATATATATATATATATATATATTAACTAAGCTTTCAGGGCGGTTCGCGCCCACCTTCCATTTCAACTGTAAATATTTTCTCTTTGTATTCATTGTAAAATATTATTAAAAAAAAGTTCGCCAAATTTTTGAAAACAATCGTGTATGTTCAAAATTTATGAAAATCGATGTTTGGGCCCGATCAGTTCAGGAATTTTGACGTTTATCGCTCACAAACAAACAAACAAACAAATTAAGTATGTATATAGATATATTTATATATATAACTGGTCTGTTTTCCTAGATACCTGGTGAAGACTGTTCCTGATGAGAAGAAAGTGAGAGAAAGGGTACCTTGTGACCCTAAAGTTGACCCACTCTGCTTCAAATACATTCATGACGCTAACAGCACCCCGGTAAATAATGCATTAACAGTTATAGCAACTTTAGCAGAAAAAAATAGAATGACGACATTAAAGCAATACTGAAGGGAGTTGGATGATATTCCATGGAGCAAGTAGTTTTAATATCAAGTTTTTAAATCACTTACTAAGTTGATCCAACCATCAGCTATTTTATTTTATTGTAAACGCCTACTCCATAACAAGTCCTCGAAAAATATCTATCCAGGTACAACACTGTCAAAGTCAACCAGGACACGATCCACACGGCTACAATCCCGTGTGAACTATCAACGCCAGTACCGCTATGGGCGCAAACTCTTTATATATATATATATCTACGCACATTGAATGGGTTAATCACAATACTCGATTTCCATATTTACTAATAGCAAATTTAGTATATGGACATTATACAATGTAATTTACTATGGACCTCTATTTTTGCTACACACATCGGTTAAAATTAAAATTTGGAAAAAAATAAACGTGAAAAAAAGATTATTATGTTACATGGGTCTGTTCCATAACTTTCTGGTTCTCACTGTAGTGATAGTTATTTTTACATACAGGTTGTTGGTAGTGATTATGAAATAAGCTGTGGACAAATGGAATGTAATTGTGGACGCAGAAGAAGGAAGAGAGGCGTAAGAACTTTGTATAATATATCTATGCATGGGGCCGGTTATATTGAAAATTTTATGAATGTGAAACTTCTCAAGGATCTTAAGTCTTGTTGGGATCTTGCGGTTTGTTTATAAAGATTTAAGTTTTGGTTTCTTCAAGGGACTGTTAGTGAAGTTTCAAGAGGGCAATGCCTGATTTACAACGGTACCCGTTAAACAGTTGTGTGAATTCGTCGAGTATAGAAATAAGTGTGTTTAAACTTATCGAAACCTGCTTGTATTCAGCTCTCAAGTTCAAGTGTTCGCGACGCCACGCTGCATGTTGAGTTCAGAGCCAGACTGTACATGACTAGACACAACTCAACTCAACAATTTCAGAAATAAATTTTCATGATTTTATTACTTAAAATATTTTAGAGCTCTGATTTTATAAAACCAAACTAATAACAGTTAAAACAGCCTCAAAAAAAATGAGGTTCCAGAATAAAGTTCACATAATAAACTATAACGCAAAGAGCGTTTTGCGTTTTTTAAAGACAGGAAAGCAACCAGAACTTTACAGAATTGTGCAAAATTGACTAAAATTCAGTTTCGCATTTTTATGTTTTAGGTTGAAGCTTGCTGCAATTGCAACTGAGAAAATAATGGAAAAATGCATTTGACGTCAATCCTCAAAAAAAATGATTCCACTGACTTTGTTATTTAAGTTAAGATTACAATACATGTTTTTGAGCTTATCACACCTTTTTTCATCACTAGATGAATGGCCCTGTTGCCCGTGGAAATTTTTTTTTGAAAAAAACACCCTCCGGCCACCCCTGAGTATCCACAGAAAATTTCAGACCAATCAGTCCATCGGTTTGGCCGGCAATACGCAACATATATATATATATGAATGTCTTGTTTTATTATATAGATAATTGCACATATCTGGGGATGGATAATTTTCACTTAAAAAAAAAAAAACGATCGTTTATTTTGAAAACGACAAAGAAAAACGAAAAACAAAACGATAGTTTTTAAAAAGATTGCGTTTTAAAAAGCGAAGAAGTCGTTTTTTAGTTTAAGTTTGTTGTTTCATTAACGAAGGTTGGTTGCTTCAATTTTTGATGATCTTAAACAATCTTCAATGACAACCCTTCTTACACAATATTTTTTAATAGATTGTTTGCATAAATGATCCCAAGTGTCTCCAGCGTCTTGAAGGAACTGTAGAGTAATTTTAAATGACCGATTGTGCAGTAACATGTTCCATTTAAAACAGTACTCTGGGGTCTCAGGTCAATAGTTTGGGGTCTCCAATGATATCCTGGGGATCTCTGATGCATTGAAAATTGAGTTCTTTCCTGGTAACAATGGTTAAATCCTCTTAAATTCACAAACATGTTCACAGCAATATCTTTTATACTGCTAATTTTTGCTATTAAAAATGTCTTTGTTTTTTTAATCAAACATTTTCTATGTTTGTAGTTTATAAAATGGCCTGTACTGTACACGTAGGACATGACTGACCCATAGTTAAAACATTTAAAATATTTAAAATCATTTCCCATTTCTTGTCTCTCTCCAATCTACATGCCTATAAACTCTACATAAACTGAATATTGCAAAATAAAAAATATTATAATTTTTATAACACGCTTTATTACTGATAATAAATACCACCAACCCCAGCCTCTAGCGAGATTAGAACAGGTAAACCATAACAAAGGATAATTATTTACAGAAAAAGCTTCCAGGAGCTAAACGACAACATGGCGTTAAATGGCTAAACCCTGTCCTCATCATTCGCAGATTGAAAATATTTATCACAGTGTTCATAATGTATAAAACAGACCCCTAGAGCAGGGGAGTTAAACTGATATATTCTCTCCCATTATTACTAGGTAACACAACCAGCCTACATACATTAAAGACATATTTCGCAAACAGGATCAGTGATCAGTGTTCAGACCCTGGCCTTGCATCTAAACAATATTTAGTTAAACACTTAGTTATTGTATAACACCAGTCAGATGAAATTGCATGCATTCTCGCCAGTGCATTCTCAGATCCAAATTGAGAAGCTTTACTCTGCATAGCACTGGTGTGAATGCATACACTCTCATCTGACTGGTGTTACACTGAATTAGTATATTTAAAACAGTGAACAGTAAATAAAGTATTAAGTAACCTCATTTGCATCTATTGACTTAAGATCAGAGCCTCTAGAACTCTCTGTGTCTTTTTTTCCACGAACTGCAAAGAAATCTGGATCTTCCTCTGACCTCTTACCACGAACAGCCCAGAAATCATCTTCACTTTTTTTACCTCTAACTGCCCAGAAGTTTGGATCTTCAGCTTTCTTTACTGGCATTGGATCATATCCATTATCATTCTCAGTTTCTTCATCATTTTTATCTTCATCTTCATCTTCAACTTCATGTTCAATTTCATCTTCAACTTCATGATCAACTTGATTTTCATCTTCATCTTCTTCGTAATTAGGTTCTTCAAATCCAAGGATTTCGTAATACTCATGGTCAAACAAATCATCATCTGATCTCTTTAAGCTGTAAAATAGCCCATTGGGCTTCAGTGTTTTCTTCATTGGTGACCAATGGCGCTTTCCTCCCATTGCGGAAAACATACCATTTGGTTTTAAACCTCTTTTGTTCTGAACATTAAAAAGACTATTTGGCTTGATGAAGTTTCCCTTTAAACTTAAAGAGTACAATTCACTTAATTGCGGAAATCTTTTTCCAAGGGCTTCAAACAGTCCGTTTGGTTTTATGTTTCTTTTTCCAAGAGATCCAAAGAGCCCATTTGGTTTCATACTTCTCTTTCCTAGGGATCCAAAAAGCCCATTTGGTTTCATACTTCTCTTGCCTAGGGATCCAAAAAGCCCATTTGGTTTCATACTTCTCTTTCCTAGGGATCCAAAAAGCCCATTTGGTTTCATACTTCTCTTGCCTAGGGATCCAAAAAGCCCATTTGGTTTCATACTTCTCTTGCCTAGGGATCCAAAGAGTCCATTTGGTTTCATACTTCTCTTGCCTAGGGATCCAAAGAGTCCATTTGGTTTCATACTTCGTTTTCCTAATGAACCAAACAACCCATTTGGCTTCATCAATCTTTTCCCCATTGCTCCAAACAGTCCATTGGGCTTCATAGTACGTTTACCAACAGCTCCAAATAAGCCATTGGGCTTCATCTTTCTTTTCCCTTTAATTGATGAAAAAAGACCATTTGGTTTAACAAATGCTTGTTTACCATTTACAGCCTCTAACAGGGCATATGGTTTCATACCACGCTTTTCTGGTTCTTCAATTGCATCAGTTTCAAATGCCCTTTCAAGGAGCGCAACTGGGTCTTCATCAGGATAATCCTAAAATATAGGATGATCATGTATTGAAATCATAAAATAAGAGGATAGCCACTGAGGTTGATAAAGCTTTATGACATGTGTTGCAAGAAGGGAATGTGAGTAGATTATTTCATAGAAATTTTTTTATGAACAACTTCACGCTGTGGCATTTGTTCTGAGAATTTTTGTGTGATATTATTAATCTTAAGTTGGCACTTTTAAACTTGAGATTCAATGCTTAATCCCTCAATTAAGATTATCACTAAGGGTTACGACCGTCACGAGATACCTAAGAGGAACTAATTAATCCAATGCTTGATCTAGAGATTTAAAACACCAAAGTTTGGACTTTTGTACACCTTGATCAATGTATTACCTGTAGTAAACTGTTGATTATATCAAGAAACTCCTTGTGTAGTTTATCAAGGTCCTCCTGTGAAAATTCAGAATATTCATCTATGTCTTGATTCTCTATAACATTTCCATAAGTTTCTTCTTTAAGCATTCTAGTTTCCTCTGGTATATTCCGTTTACCCCGTATAGCCCAGAAGCCATCATCATCCTTCCTAAATATGGGATAGATCTATAGATCATGGCTTATATCTATACTTTGATGAGTGAAAAAGACAAATGATCTGGATTCAAAGGCTTTTTTCTGTAAACTTCTGTATAGTAGTTCTTCAATGTCATTGGTTGAAACTAAACTTCTGTATAGTAGTTCTTCAATGTCATTGGTTGAAACTAAACTTCTGTATAGTAGTTCTTCAATGTCATTAGTTGAAACTAAACTTCTGTATAGTAGTTCAATGTCATTGGTTGAAACTAAACTTCTGTATAGTAGTTCTTCAATGTCATTGGTTGAAACTAAACTTCTGTATAGTAGTTCTTCAATGTCATTAGTTGAAACTAAACTTCTGTATAGTAGTTTCTCATATCATTGGTTGAAACTAAACTTCTGTACAGTAGTTTCTCATATCATTGGATGATACTAAGCTTCTGTACAGTAGTTCCAAAATATCATTGGTTGATACTAAACTTCTGTATTGTAGTTTCTCATATCATTGATTGAAACTAAACTTCTTTCTAGTAGTTCTCCAATATCATTAGTTGATTCTAAACTTCTGTATAGTAGTTCTCCAATATCATTAGTTGATACTAAACTTCTGTACAGTAGTTTCTCATATCATTGGTTGATTCTAAACCTCTGTATAGTAGTTTCTCATATCATTGGTTGAAACTAAACTTCTGTATAGTAGTTTCTCATATCATTGATTGAAACTAAACTTCTTTCTAGTAGTTCTCCAATATCATTAGTTGATTCTAAACTTCTGTATAGTAGTTCTCCAATGTCATTAGTTGATACTAAACTTCTGTATAGTAGTTCTTCAATGTCATTAGTTGATTCTAAACTTCTGTACAATGTCATTAGTTGATTCTAAACTTCTGTATAGTAGTTCTCCAATATCATTGGTTGATACTAGGCTTCTGTATAGTAGTTTCTCATATCATTGGTTGAAACTAAACTTCTTTCTCGTACAGATAAATTGTGTCAGGATTGACATTGATAGTTAAGCATTGGTACAGATAAATTGTGTCAGGATTGACATTGATAGTAAAGTATTGGTAAAGATAAATTGTGTCAGGATTGACATTGATAGTAAAGTATTGGCAAAGATAAATTGTGTCAGGATTAACATTGATAGTAAAGCATTATGACAATAGCAACAAACCTTAAATCTCTCCTGTCCATGCCATCCCGAATCAATGTATTCCACCATAGATTCTAAGTTAGAAGTTAGAATTAATTTTAATTATATTTTAACAAAATTTATTGCTCGATTTTTTACCTTTGATGTCTGTATTGACTGTGAATGTATGTTCTTCAGCAGAATACAATGTATTGAAATAGGAAGCCAGAAATACAACATATCTGGAATACAATATATTGAAATAGGAAGCCAGAAATACATCATATCTGGAATACAATATATTGAAATAGGAAGCCAGAAATAAAACATATCTGGAATACAATGTATTGAAAAAGGAAGCCAGAAATACAACATATCTGGAATACAGTGTATTGAAATAGGAAGCCAGAAATACAACATTTCTGGAATACAATGTATTGAAATAGGAAGCCAGAAATACAACAAATCTGGAATACAATGTATTGAAATAGGAAGCCAGAAATACAAAATATTTGGAATTCAATGTATTGAAATAGGAAGCCAGAAATAGAACAGATCTAAAATGCAATGTATTGAAATAGGAAGCCAGAAATACATCATATTTGGAATACAATGTATTGAAATAGGAAGCCAGAAATACAACATATCTTGAATACAATGTATTGAAATTTGACGCCAGAAATACAACATTTCTGGAATACAGTGTATTGAAATAGGAAGCCAGAAATACAACATATTTGGAATACAATGTATTGAAATAGGAAGCCATAAATACAACATATTTGGAATACAATGTATTGAAATAGGAAGCCAGAAATACAACATATCTGGAATACAATGTATTGAAATAGGAAGCCAGAAACTGAACAGATCTAGAATGCAATGTATTGAAATAGGAAGCTAGAAATACAACAAATTTGGAATACAATGTAATGAAATAGGAAGCCAGAAATACAACATATCTGGAATACAATTATTGAAATAGGAAGCCAGAAATACAACATATCTTGAATACAATGTATTGAAATAGGAAGCCAGAAATACAACATTTCTGGAATAAAATGTATTGAAATAGGAAGCCAGAAATACAACATATCTGGAATTCAATGTATTGAAATAGGACGCAAGAAATACAACGTATCTGGAATACAATGTATTGAAATAGAAGTTAACATATTTGGAATACAATGTATTGAAATAGGAAGCCAGAAATACAACATTTCTGGAATACAGTGTATTGAAATAGGAAGCCATAAATACAACATATCTGGAATACAATATATTTAAATAGGAAGCCAGAAATAAAACATATTAGGAATTCAATGTATTGAAATAGGAAGCCAGAAACTGAACAGATCTAGAATGCAATGTATTGAAATAGGAAGCTAGAAATACAACAAATTTGGAATACAATGTAATGAAATAGGAAGCCAGAAGCCAGAAATACAACATATCTGGAATACAATGTATTGAAATAGGAAGCCAGAAATACAACATATCTGGAATACAATGGATTGAAATAGGAAGGCAGAAATACAACATATCTGGAATACAATGTATTGAAATAGGAAGGCAGAAATACAACATATCTGGAATACAATGTATTGAAATAGGAAGCCAGAAATACAACATATCCGGAATACAATGTATTGAAATAGGAAGCCAGAAATACATCATATCTGGAATGCAAGGTATTGAAATAGGACACCAGAAATACAACATATCTGGAATACAATGTATTGAAATAGGAAGCCAGAAATACAACATATTTTGGAATACAATGCATTGAAATAAGAAGCCAGAAATACAACATATCTGGAATACAATGTATTGAAATAGGAAGCCAGAAATACAACATTTCTGAAATACAATGTGTTGAAAATGAAATAGGAAGCCAGAAATACAACATATCTGGAATACAATGTATTGAAATAGGAAACCAGAAATACAACATATCTGGAATACAATGTATTGAAATAGGAAGCCAGAAATACAACATATCTAGAATACAATGTGTTGAAATAGGAAACCAGAAATACAACATATCTGGAATACAATGTATTTAAATAGAAGCCAGAAATCACATTACAAATAGATTGATAATAGTATATGATAATAAATGCTAAACATATTCTTTTCTTATTCTTTTGCAGTTAGATGTTAAAATAGACATATCTTAATTTTACAGTTAACATTCTAGAGCACTCAGGTATAATTTATTTCCCAATGCAAATTGAATAATTTATTCTTTTTTTTTGCTAAAAGAAATTAAATTTTCTGTATTTATATCTTTTGAATTTAGTTATCAATATTTTAAAAAAAATTGAAATGTAGATGTTATTTCAAGTTACACTCATTTTTATCAGAGTAGATTCGTTAATTCACACTTTACACTCTGAAGCTTTATTTAATAAAATGAATGATATCTATGGTATTTACTTTACATTGATAATTTTCAACTGTGGTTTCTTCATGTATAAGTGATGGAGGAATTATAAGATTTAAACAATTATTCAGCTAGAAAAAAAACGATATCTACCAACTTATTGATCAAATAAAGGCTTAAAGGGCACCTCTGTGAATAAAGGCATCACCTCTAAAAATGATGGGTAACGTAATAATACAGAAACGGTTCCGTTAACTATAGTTTGGGGCAACTTTAAAATTTCCCAAATCCATCAGACAAAATATTTATTTTTCAGAATAAAAATTAGGGTAAAAATATTTCATCGACAATGATAAATGACATGGTAGTTAGAGTTAACATCAAAATTGAAATTCATTCATTAATTAACGATTTTAAAAACACAGATCATAAGGGAAGGTCTATTCTCTTCATTTGATAAACTGAAAATTTGATTTTTTGATTGATTGATTTGATTTGAATCCTTAAAAAATCTTATTAAGCAAAAAAGGACTTTGTCAGGACATGAATTTAAATCCTATCAAATCAAAGAAAGCATATATTAATATACAGGGTTGTCCCACGAAACGAGAGAGTTGATGAAAAGTTTTGAATGTCTTCTTCCACATACTGTATTAGACATTAAAGACTTTTTGCAGTTTATTTCTTTAAAAAAATGTTTTACTGTGAAATAAATTTTACTATGGTATAACTGTCATATAAAAAACTTTCATATACTGGAAGTACTATTTGAAGTTTTGTTAAAATTTTACTCAAATAAATTTTACTCAATTTTATTGTAATATTTTATAATATATTAGTATCTTTGGTATCAAACAACTTATCAAATTATTGAAGGACATTTTAAATTATTCACCAACTGTCATGTTTCGTGGGACACCCTGTATCAATCAATGTTGAAAGAAAAATAAAATGCGAAAAATCTGCATTCCTTTGTAAAGAGCTGGATTAAAAGGGATTAGAAAATCAGAGTTTGTGGCGAAACCTCCTTTCTTCCAAATTTGTAAAACTCCGTCTTTATCAAAGTGGACTGAAATTAGGATGAGTGCACTATTTGAAGAATTAAAAACATTTTGTTTGTAAAATCATTTTTTTCTCGAAATTTAGGATATTTTGTTCGTAATTACAAGCAGAATGTTATGATTTAAAAAAATGTGAAATATCGCTTGGATTTCGTTCATTACTTAGAACAAAATGTTTGTAATTGCCTCATTATTCTACTCCCAGTGCAGTGAACTTCATAACCTACCTTGTAATTCTGACACGGGTTTCTTCTTCCCTTTAGCTTTATATAATATATTGAATATAGAGTTCTATAGTTGCGGGTTGGAACTATAGGAAACCTCCATTCTATTAAGTTTAGAGAATACAACAAAAATCTATCTATAAATATACTTTGCTTGTTTGTCTGTCTTTCTGTTTGTTTGTGTCTATTAAACGTCAAAACAGCTGAACCGATCGGGCCAAAATTTTGTGTGGGATCTCGAGTGACCCCAGGGAAGGTTTATGGATGATCGAATTTTCAAAAATTTGCCTCAAAAACTTTTATTTTTGAAAAATTTTTAAAATCAACGAAAATTTTTTTTAATCCGCAAATTTTTTTTTTTTTTTGATTTACAATGTATATAAGAAGAAAAAGCAAAGTATTGATAAACTTCAAATAGAAGCGAGTTTGAAATAAAGGGAGCGTACGCTTAATAACAAGTGACCTTCTCAAAGTTGTAATGCCCGATTCAAACCGGTACCCTAGAAACAAATATCTAATCAAAAATGTGGAAGATATTGTCGTTTTTCTAGATTTAAAGTGTTTAATCGTGATAATTTAAATATGTATGTTTTCCTTCTGTAGAAATGCGCAATACTGAATAGTTTATTGAATATAGGTTTGCAGTTTACAATATTAAATAGTATTTATTGGATATAGGATACATTCAATACTGAATAGTTTATTGAATAAAGGTTTACAGGTTACAATATTTAGATAGTGTTTTTTAGATATAGTATAGTATATGAATAAAAATCAATAAAGCAATGCACTGAGTTTCTCAAATATTCAACGCGTCGGGTTTTAGAGGAGCTCATACCTA